AAAAAATTAAGGTTTTAAAAACTAAAATTTAGGAACAAAATTATTATCCTATTAGGATCAAATTTTTTGTCTAAAAAAATAAACTATTTTGAGACCAAATTATTTTGTCCCTGAAGTCTATTTATTAGTGACATTTTCAAAATTTTGCCACTAAAAGCTTTGTTTTTGACTTTTCAAGACGACCTTTTAACGACTATCCTCATAACGATAGAAATTGGTCCCTAAATGTCTTTTACAACAAAATTTTCACTTTTAGAGACTAAAATATTTAATCTCTAAAACTCTTATATGTTGTAGTGCTGATTAGTTCCTATTTTTGTGAAGAAAAATTTAACCCTCATATTTTTTTATAGTTATAGAATTAGTTTTAAATAATCATATAAACTATTCTTGTTCGTGAGTTGTGGACAATATTTTGTAATCATGTTATAAATAATGGTAAATTTTTTAAAAATTGTAATTTTAAATCAAACTAAATCATATTTTACTAATTCGGTTTGATTTAATAATTAAAATTTCATAATTTAATTTAATTTTGAATTTCATAAATCTGTGGGCTCTTTACAGTGGTCTAAGTAGATCTGTGGGCTCTTTACAGTGGTCTAAGTAGTCAAAAGAAAACCCAAAAAACAAAGCCCAAAACCATATAAATGTGGTTGGTTAGTGGGTGGTGTTGTTTTGGAAGTTTCAAGAGGAGCCAGTGAATCTACTTGTCTCAGACACTAGAATTGCTGGCAATTGGCCCCTTGGATTGGGTTTTGGTGATAAGTCGGGGAAAAATTATATCGTGGTCCAGGGCATTACGTAGATTTATTTTTAATTAATCATAATTTATTATGTTTTTTTTTTTACTTTTTAATTATTTAATATAAAATTATAAATTTTATCTTTTTAATCAATCATAATTTATTCAAAATATCACATGAGTGTACAATAAGACAAACAAATAGAGTAATGCTAAAGATTTTAAATATTTGATTAAATATTCTATCAAATATATTATATAAGTGTGGAACCATGTGAATCCCAAATGAATTTTATATTCATATGAAATATTTAATGAAGTATTTGAGATATATGATATTACTCCCGACAAATAATATCTAGAGTGGAAAATGAAGAAGACCCAGAGACTTTTCCTATGATGGATGGGTTTTCGGTGGATGACGTGGCCAAAAACATACCAAACAGTCTCGTTCATTGTACTTCCGAATTCTTCATCAAATTAGAGAGAAGGTGTCCCGGTTATATTTATATTTATATTTTTAAATAAAATAATATAATTTCTTTTTTTTTGGGTTAAGAATTATATATGTCATGATAGGAGAGTTCTTTCTAGGGAAATTTCAATTCAAGTAAGTTTTAATAAAAAAATAAAATTACAAATAAACATTAAAATTTTTAAATATTAATAATTAAAGTTACGATCTTTTTCATGAATTTGTAATAATTTTATGAAAGTATCATTGAATGATAAGAAATCATGGGTAATGCCTTTTATAGCCGTTAAATATTGTGTGATGTTTTATATTTAATATACATTCAAGAGTATTATAAGAAATCTTTTACAAAGTGAGGGTCTGAGGCTCTTAAGTAGTTGGAGATTAGATAATACTATTTTATTTTTATTGTGTGATTGGAACTATGATTGAAATATGATTTTTCTATCAAATTTTTGTGCAATGATCAAATAAGATGCATTATCAAATTACATAATTTAATTATTTGATTTAAAATCAAAATAAAATAATAATAAAATCAAATATCTTTAAAATGACGTAGTTTTTGCTCCAATTTTAAATATTAACTGTTAAATTATTACAACAAAATTATTGCAGAGATCCTGATCCACATAAATGTGCTAATTTTGTGAGCATAAAGTCATCTTGTCCAATATCTAGATATTATGGGGGTGCAAAAATCACCACTAAATGGAGATAGAGCATAGTGCCAATTACCAAAAATTCAGTTCGAAGTGTCCATTAAAAGTGGAGCATAGACCATACATATATACTTGATTGCACAGATTTTTTTTTATTTTTTTACTTTTTTTTTTTTTCTCTACTGTTTTCTCTGTGGTTGTGTGATCAAAGAGGGCACGTGATTTCGAGGAACTTCCATTTGTTAATGGGTGGAGTTCACGTGGACCTGTTGGCTATTATAATTCTGCATTCTTTGGACCACTTTGCCTTTTTCTATCATCAAAATCAAATCAACCCGAAAAAGAAAAAATATCACAAAAATGAACCAAAGTCTTGTATGGCATAGTACTGTAACTTTGTGTTTGGTTGCATTGCACTAGTTTTGATGAATGCTATCAATCAAGTCCAGATGAGTGGCCATTTGGGAACATTCTTAAAAAAAAAAAAAAAAAATTAAAAAAAAAGAGTTAAAAGTTAATTTTTAAAATTATGTTTGATTTTGACTTTTTGGCTTAAAAAAAAAAAAAAAAAAAAGTATAAAACACAAAATTAGTTACATAATTCAATAAGAGAAAATGTGACATCCAAATCATAATCATTACACTTTTTCTCTTACAAAAGTCAAAAAAATTAAAAATAAAAACCAAACGAGATTAAAAAAGCCAAGATAAAATAGCTAAAAAGTCAAAAAAACTAGACTATTTTAACTATTTCCACATAAAGACTAATTTATTTTGAATCACATCATTTTTTACCAAAAAAATTTAAGAGAATCAACAAATTAACTTTTGATCATCTTTCTAAAACACCCATTGTTGAGATTGTGTTGGTACCATCGTTATTCTTTTGAATTGCAAATCAGTGTCGAAAATTCAACTATGTTATTTTCATAAAAAATTAAGAAAAATGCTTTAGACCACTAATTAGTGGTGGCTCTAATGATGGGGCAGTGGGTCCTATCCATTGCCACAGTGTTTTTTTTTTTTTTTTCAATTGCCATCTCACTAGTGGTGGGATTAGTGATGGCAAATTAGTGGTCTATAGCATTGCTAAAAAATTAATTGACTTGAATTGAATTGTTATAGATGAATTGAATTGTTTGTAAACTAGCTCGGTTCAACTAAACGAGCTGAACTCAAACTCGAATAAGTTTGGTTTATTTATTTTTATTTAAATTATATAATAAATATATTATTTATATATTAAATAATATAAAAAAAAAAAATCTTATCGAGTTGAGCTCGAGCTCAGCAAAGTATAGCTCGGCTCATTTGCAGCTTTACTCGTTTGCAGTTGTAGTGGTGGGGAGCCGAGTAGAGCCAAACTTTATTATATTTTGGTTTGTTTATTAAAATTTTAACGAGTTCGAGTTTGATCTCGATAAAAATTTAACGAACCAAGTACGAGTCAAGTTGATTTAGGTTTGACTCGAGTCCGATCCTATTCAAGAGCCTTACTGAATTAAAAAAATTATAAATTCATACTTGTGGTGCAAGTCATATCACAATTTTTACTTGTTATATATATTCACTTGTACTAAATTATTACAATTACTGGAAGGGTAAACATATTAATATGTGTAATTGAAAAGATCATATATGCTATGATACAATTAAGGAATTATATTAGGGAGCCCAAATGAATTACTAAATATTTTACCAAATTTCTCATATAGGTATGAAATTCACACAAATTACATGTGTGTGGGTCTCTGGGATCTATAACATTTTCTATAATCAAGACAATTGTCAGATTTTTATGTAATAAAAAAATTATCTATGGCACAATTACCCTTGTCATTTATATAACTACTCTTGTGATTATTTTCTAAAATACAGAAGAAAATTACAAGTCTCTAATGTTGACTTTATATAATATAAATTGTATAAGTGGTATAGTAATAGTAATAGTATGGATTGTGTCTCATTTTCATTAAAATTGCAATTCTCTTGCTTTTGCTGTTTAGAGTTTGTTTATGTTAAAAGTATTTTTTTAGTGACAACTAGGTAGATATTATTGGAAACTAGGCCCATTTGCAAAAGTAGACCCTCCAACCCTTTTAATTGAATAAGCCCAATTGTGTGCCCTTCATAAAATATACTTAATATTTCATTTATTTATAGATTTAATAGACTTAAAAAAAAGTTAAAGACACAGTTAATACAGAACTTTCTGGAGACATCCCCCCAAAGAAATATCTACGTCAACTTTTAATCTCAACCGTCCATCAACAAACATCCTTATCTCACACAACATATTCAAATACCAATTCAAACAATGCCTACACATATAAATAGTACATTTTGCCCCTTTATATTTAACTTCTTTTTTTTTCCCTTAAAATTTGGTTTTCTTTTTTTTTATTTTGAATTTTTATATTTTAATTTTTTTTAATTTACTTCAAATTTAATTTATATCCAAAATTAAACAAAAAATAATAATAATAATACATTGTAGCTGCATGACAATGTCGCTGCTTGGCATGGATGCCTGACTGGTTGTGCATGTTGCAAGGCTGCTTGGCATGTGAGTTACCGTGAATGTGTTATTTTTTAATTTTGGACATAAGTTAGTCTATAGAATAAATTAAAATTTTTTTAAAGATGACGAAGTAAAATAAAAATAAAATAAAATAAATTAAAAATCAAAATAGGAAAATAACTAAACATAAAGAGAAAAAGAAGTACTCCTCCTTTCCCAAAATATTAATCTCTTCTTTTATTTTTAATTGTCCCAAAATATTAGTTCATTTTTAAAAATTAAGTACAAAAATAATATAAATTTTTATTTTGCCTTTCTTTTAAATTCATTAATAACATAAAAAGTACAATTATAATATTGATATTTCTAAAAAAATGTACTACTTTGAAAAATTAATTGTTTTAAAGTGTAATAATTATATTATCAAAAAAATTAAATTCCTAAAAAGAGATTATTATTTTAGGACAAGGAGAGTATAATTTACCCAAATCATAATATAAAATCCTTGTTTTTACAAAAAAGAAAAGAAAAAGAAAAAAAGAATAATAATAAATTTAAGTAAAAAGCTGTGTCTATAAAATGCGCTCTGCTTCTGGAGCATTCCTGAGCCTTTAGCGTTTCGTTAGAGAACTGTTGATCCTTCTCTACTCTCTCTCTCTCTCTCTTCGGCACGCCATCAATGCTAAGGTTCCGTATCATACTCACCAAGATGTAATCTTGAACTATCATCAATCAATAAAGCTATGTATAAATATATATATTATTGGTAAAAGCTATATATATAATTCGTCGACAAGAAAAAAAGAAAAAGGTTTTGGGTGTGTTTGATCGATTTGGTTTGTGGGTTTTTGTGGGTATAAATTGGATTCAACAATGGCCGCTGGAGAAGAGAAGAGTAGCGATTTCTATGCTGTTCTGGGTTTGAAAAAGGAATGCACTGCCACAGAGCTCAGGAATGCTTATAAGAATCTTGCACTGGTCAGAAAACAAATCTTTTTTCTCAATTCAATCAAATAACATTCCAAAACAATTTGAAAAATCACTTTCTCGGTTGAAACAACTCTTGGGATTTCTGGGTCGGCTAAAAATCACTTTCTGTGTTGAAACAATCTCTTGGGATTTCTGGATCGGCTATGTCTCTCTCTCTCAATGTCGGCCTTAAATTTCAAGGTTGATCTACCATACTCTTTGTTTTCCTGGAAAATTGCAGGATTTTCCCGGGAAGGTGGATTTAACAAGATTTTTTTTTTTTTCCCTGGGCGAATCAAGGGATGGGTATTCTTATTAATATTTCTGGGATTCTGTTTTCCTGAGGATTTTCCTGGAAAATTTTAAAATGAGTGGTTTGATGTGGGCAGAGATGGCACCCAGATCGTTGTTCAGCGTCAGGGAGCTCCAAGTTCATCGAAGAATCCAAGAAGAAATTTCAGGCTATTCAAGAAGCCTATTCTGGTAATTTCACCCTCCTCTGTTTCTTCTCAAATTTATAATTATTTTATTTATTTTTATTTTTTTGGTGTGATCATTGATATTCACGAGATGGCGTTTGTTTAGACTCTGTTTTTGTTTCCGTGATTTCGCAGTTCTTTCGGATGCGAACAAAAGGTTTATGTACGACGTTGGATTCTACGACTGTGATGATGACGAAAATGTAAGTTTTTTGCTTTTTATTTTTTATATATTAATTATTTACTCCATTGGATGGGTTTTAATCAGACGAGCTCGTGTTCTTCCTAGTTACTGTGAGCTCTTCTTGTGGTTATGGACATTAGTATGTTAATTGGGAATTAATTGATGGTTATGAAAATTATTTTATTACGTTAGTTTAGGAAATCGCTAAATTTTTTTATTATTATTATTTATTTTTTTTCGCGGTTAGGCACAACGGGACAGTGGCCCTGTTTGGTACAGCTTAATTTCAGCTTTCAGCTTAATTTAAGTTATTTTGATGTGTTTGGTTTAGCTTATAGCTTATAGCTTATAGCTTTGTGGAAGTCAGAAAATAGCTTATTCTTTGAGTGGGGCAGGAGATGCTTTAAGAATAAGCTGAAAATCAGCTTAAGCTGAAAGTTATAAGCTATAAGCTGTTTAGGCATAAGCTATAAGCACTTTCCCACAGCTCTACCAAACAGGGCCAGTATCACACACTAATTAAAATGTCATGTCAATATAGTCAGTGATTTTTGTCTGACAAAGTGAGCTCAAATAAGTTATTTTATGTTTCATGTGCATGGCTGGTGATATCTAAAGGTTTTGGCGTTTGGTGGGAGAAGTGGATCCATGATTTTATGTTGGGTAACGAGAGCATACAAGACTTCAATTTGGTGATTGGCTTGTGATATGACACGTGGTATCGTAGATGTGCCTAATTGTTTTCGGCTCTTTTTTTGATCTATATAATTATTTTTTTATTATTATTATTATTATTATTATTATTATGTTCATGAGTCTTCATTGTGGGAAAACACAATAAATTTGATAATTTCTTAATTTATACCAATTTAAAGTGAATTGGACCCGCCAATCTAACTGGTGAAGTCTATCACGGACCCTTAAGGATAATTTGAAAACTTGGAAAAAAATTAATTTTTTAGTTTTTTAACTTTTTTACACAAAAAAATTAATTTTTTTAGCAAAAAAAGCTACTAAAAAGTCATTTTTTTACCAACTTGTCAAAATGTCACTTAGGCTTCGTTTGGAAACATGCTAATTTAGTAATTTTTTGACTATTTGGCTAAAATATGAGCTGAAAAAAACTAGTATGTTTGGGATGACTTTTTGACTTTTTACGAAAAAATGTGCAAAAAGTAAAGAGAAAAGAGAATTTTGATTTTTTGGTATGGATTGTTGGCTTTTGACTAATTTAATAACTTTTTGACTTTTTAGCTAAAAATGAGACTTTCCAAACGAGGCCTTAGTTTGACGTTGCGTTTCTATGTATTTTTTTAGTTGGCATTCAAAGAAGTTAGATCGATGTGATGATCGTAGTGATTCTTACTATGATCATATTCATATTATTTTAGTATTTCTCTCGTGCAGGAATTACAATTATAATTTTAAAAATAAATGCTTTGTTTTGTTAATAGAATAAGAAGTGAAAATCATGAGTATGGTTAGTAGAATAATTTACTTTTTTTTATAAAATGATTTACAAAAAAAAACTCATAAATGAATGTGGCCGTGGTGGTTCCGAAGGACTAAATTGGACCATTCAGCCCACAAAGGTGGATTGGAGATTATATTAATCATTTTCCAAATGCATGGACCCATCCAAGTTTGCATGGTTCTCTTCTTTTTTCTCTCTGATCTTATTTTTTTGTTTTTATTTTTGTAGGGAATAACAGGAAATATTGGAAGCATTTTAAAAGACTATTGTATTAATTTTTAATTTTTGTTTTTTGTTATCATTGTTTTTTAAATTGTAGGTCATGTGGGATTGTACTTGTGTGTATGTATAACTCTTGAGATGGATGTTGATGTGCCATGCAGGGTATGGGTGATTTTCTGAATGAAATGGCAGTTATGATGAGCCAAAACAAGTCTAATGTAAGCCCTTTTATCCCTTTCTATTTTATTTATTTATTTTATTGTCACTCATGTTTTGGGGAAATCAATATGTAGTTTTTCATTTATGTTCCCATTTTGAAGTTTTTTTTTCTGGCTTTCTTAATTGAATTTTCGTATTAGGTTTTAATTTTAGCTTTGAGTAAATAAATAATTCATCTTCAAAGTTCTTCAAAAGCCAGATTTTAAGCTGAACGGAACGAGCCTTTAATGTGTGTTGATGAACAAACGTGCTCGATTGGTCGGTGGCATGGTTCACGATTGGGGATTACTACCACAATTTTAGAGGATTATGATGGCCCAAAAAAATTGATTGGATTATGATTTTTTATTTTGTATGATATTTATTTTGGAACTATTATTCTCACAACAACAATCAATAGAAAATTTCTTTTAATATTACTTGGGGGAAAAAAGAAGCTAATGCTGCTCTGTCAATATGGGCATTCTATTTGTTTGTGTTTTCCTAAAGACGGGAAGGGAAGGAGAGGGATGCGTGGATAGGTTTGAATTAAAACGAAAGGTGCGACCAATTTTTATATTTGAACCCTGGGCACGGGAAGCAAGGACCCTATAGAAGAGTTTAAGGTTGGGAGTTGGAACAGAGGCGGGAGCGAGGTTTTGGAAGCGAGGCCCCATAGGAGGTTCCTGCTATTAAGGTTTGGTCAAAAAGTTTGATTTTACCTAGCATTACATTTTTGTGGTTTTGATTTCTTTTTTTTACAAAAATTGTTTTGGGTCCAGCAAATCCCAACATTTGGCTGCTAATATTGAAATTCAATTGGTAGACCCTGTGACGCGGCAAATTAATGTTTATTTAGTTTTAGTAACGAGTCTAAAAAATAGCACCGGTTTTACATTGGAGTTGGTGTAATTGGCAGGAAAATGGGGAGACCTTCGAGGAATTGCAGGAGCTGTTTGAGGAAATGTTTCAGAGCGATTTGGATGCATTTGGTTCCACGTCTCAGACTCTGAACCCTTCATCATGTTCATCGTCTACATACGCTTCTTGCAGCGGGACCTCTAATGCCAACAACAAGCGTAATTCCTTTGAAATGAACTCGGGAAACACCAAGAGCGAAAGCTCTTCTGGCTTTGATGCACACTTTGAGGGATTTTGTTTAGGGGTTAGTACTCTTTATCTCTCTCTGTGAATGGTGTCTACCGAATTATTTGCATGATCTGAATGATAATTATTAGATCTCACTTGAAATACCTAATTTTCAAATGAAGCCTTGTGAATCATCGCTAATGCTTGATAATTATTGAGCTTAAATTGTCTTATAGTCTACTCAAAAGATTTGAGGTTAAAAACTCACTATCTTTTTGAATTTATTATTAAATTTGGATGGGTCTAGTTGGCCATCAATAGAAAAATTGGAGAAGTTGGCCCGTGTCAAAATTTTTAAAAAGTTTCACGAACGTATTAAATGGCTATAATGTGCATGGACATTCATTGTCAAACTTTTATTACAACTCAAGTAAAATTTTGATGAGCATGATTTTTATACAAAAGGGATTGTGTCAATTTTTTGTTCCCTTTTTTTTTTTGTGGGATTTGTTGTTGTCACTCACTTTTTTTCTTCTTGAGATTGAGATTGATCTTCCTTCTTATTGTGTGTAATGTGCTTTCTTTTTTATTCGATTATGTGAAGACAGGCGGAGCATCAGGAAAATCCCAGGAGGGGGAAAGGAGCCGGAGGAGGAATTGCAAGAGTCGGAAATAGGAGGCGTGGCAGGAAACAGAAGGTTTAATCTGGCCACGACGTCTCCTCCTCTAATGACTATTCTAGTATTTCTTCTTGAAGGTACAATACCTAGCTCTCACCGATTGATGCAAGTCTGCACGTGTCTTTTCCAAGCCTCTGACATGTTGATCGACACTTCACAATTGACTTAGATGAAGATATACGCACAAACAAACTGGCAAAAGGCCAACTCATTAGCCAGATTTTCAGATCATCTTGATCGTTGAAGAAACCACATTGATCGATTAGCATTAGATGGATTGAGTTCAAATAGTTCTTAGGAAGGGGGTGTCCATGTTAGGGTTCATCAGTTGTCCTTCCATCTTTGATGGCTGTGACACTCATTTAATTATCATTTGTATTAGTTTTGCTTTTTTAAATATGCTCTCTTTAAATGGTTGTGGAAATCGACGTTTCTTTTCTTCCTCAATATTTTCATTTCTTTATTCAATCAAAAAGGAGGATTATTTTCTATTTCATTTATTTTTTTCTTTGTTATTCCTCACAAATTTAAGACTAGTTTAGATGTTCGCGGTTTTGTTGCGGCCGGAAAATTTTCAATCTACTATCCATCTGTTGGATTGGCAGATCAAAAAAAATCAATCTGCATCCGTCCGTCGAATTGATGGATGTAGATTGAACAAATTGGCGGGTGAATACAAATCGGTTTAACAATTTAGACTCTTACAAATTTTGAACATAATATAATAATTTTTTTTTTTTGAACGAACATAATATAATAACTTGTTAACATTTTTTTGTGTTAACATTTTTTTGTGTGTGATAACAATTCAACTCAACATAACTAAAAGATTATCAAATAAATTGTCAAATATCAATATAAATACGTATAAAAAAATCATATATTATCAAAATTATTTTATTATTATTATTTATTTAAAAACTATTTATTTTGATTTTTTTTAAAAAAATAACAAAATTAAACCTTATATTTTTTATACAAAAATATCAAATATTAACATTTGTCATTTGATAAAAAGATTTTTAAATTAAAAACACAACAGAATATTTAAACTCTTTTTCAATTGAAAACACAAATAGAATATCTAAACAAATTAAAAACACAAAATTTTACAAATTATTAGGGGTGCTCATAATTTGGCGTTTCGGTTGCAGCCAAAGAAATTTCAATTTCGCCGTCCGTCCAAAACTAGGCAGATTGGAAAAAATTAATTAGCAACCCTCTGCTCGTCATCACGCATCCGTCCAAAATGCGGAGGATCAGTTCGGTTTGGTTCAGTCAATTTGGACGGATCAGAATATCCGTTACTCACCCATATTTCAAACATATGCCTCTTTTGGGAGGCAATGATTCAGCACTTAAAGTTGAATTGATTAAGTGATAATCAATTAAGTCCGTTTGATAATTATAATTGATTTCATTTAAAAATTTAAGTGCTTAAAATGTAGGCTAAAATTTAAGAAAATTTTAAATCATATAAAACTTACTTAATTTTAACTGAATTTATAAATATTAAACATAAATATCAATATACAATATTATAAATTCACTATCACCACTGCTATCACTATTACCACCACCACCACAACTATCATGTCACCGTTACCGCTACCACTACCACAACCACAACAACTACCACTACTACTACCATCATGTCACTACCATTACTATCACTACCGCCACCATCACTATTGCTATCACTACCACCATTACCACTACCACTGCCACCATCATGCAGTTGCCACCAACACCACCACTATTACTATCATCTTCATTACCATTGTCATTATTGCTATGAACGTCACCATCATTTTACTATTACTATCATCGTCATCGCTATCGCTACCGCTACCGCTACCGCTACCATCATCACCACGCCACTGCCACCACTATGCCACTCAACCACCACAACCACCACCACCATCATCACAATATAAAAATTAAAATATACAATTTAAAAATAATGAATTTCAAATTTTATCTTACACATATCAAACAACTTATTTTTAATTCAGTACTTAAATTTTTATCAAATAATTTTTTAACTTAAAAAATTAAGTATTCAATTTTCAATAATTAATTTTTTATTTTTTATTTTATCAAACACTGCCTTATTTATTGACTTATTTGAGTTATATAAACTCTTTACTTTTTTTTGTACGCTTTAATTTTCTTTTTTTTAAAAAAAAACGCCAATACGTGAAAATACTTTTCAAAATTGGTCATAATAACAATTCACATAAAAATGCTTGTGAGTGTCCTTTTTTTGTTCGTGTCCTTAGCATAGTCAATGCAGTTTGTGTATTTTTGTATTTTGTGTTTTTGGGTAACTAATAACATTTCACATCACCATAAAATGCATGATATCGCTATGAGTTTGTGCATATTCTATGAGTGCGTTATTTTTGGCTTTTTCGCCCGACTTTTTTCTTTTATACGTAGATATGATTTAATCATCAGGTTGAAAGATAATTTTTACAATGGCTAAATGGTCGGTGCTTCCGTAAGGATATTTATCACGCAAGATGAAGTAATTCGGAAATTAAGTTTGGTCTTGAAATGATGGATGTGCAATGGCTTTGAATGTGTAAAAAGAAAACATTCTGCCAATATATTTATAATCACCATGACACCCATTTGCTAAAGGCCACTGTGTGGGTGATTTTCCGACCACACTGCCCGCTTAGTAACCAGCTGGAGAGCACTGGCAGAATAGATGGCACCTGACTGACCTGTAACAGAAATATAAGAATCCCGCGGTGGTTTCGACCACCCGGGGGCACTCCGACGATCAAGTCAGTATATCTCTCAAAGATAAATCAAGTACTAAACTCACAAGCTTGAGTATCAATCCGTAAGGATATTTATCACGCAAGATGAAGTAATTCGAAAATTAAGTTTGGTCTTGAAATGATGGATGTGCAATGGCTTTGAACGTGTAAAAAGAAAACATTCTGCCAATATATTTATAATCACCATGACACCCATTTGCTAAAGGCCACGACATTTGGAAACAATGAATCCATTGAATTCAAATTCAACTTACCAGATCAATCCGTATTCTTGCGAGAAGATATACACATGTTAATTGGAAACGATCAAGTATGGAGAGGCACACCATATTATGATGTGGTGACATTTAATCTAACATTTCCCACTTGATCACATTATAATGATGTGAAAAATCTTAAGTTAAGCATATTTACCTTGGTACCAAAATTTTGTCTTATGTCAACTTTCATCTATGAAATTACCTCATAGATTGACGTCTGATTGTGACTTGGCCATACGTGCGCACGTTTTTGTCACCAATCTGACCGCACCAGTACGAATGTGTTCTCCCACTGTCAACACATTCCAGATGACTTCAATTCACTATATAACAAGCGAACGACATCAATTTTCAGTGATGGGTTCATACTCCATACCTAATCAGCATTGACGACTTCAGCCATACACATTTTTCATGTGTCGACCTGCACTGAAATTATTGTTAAGTACTTCCTTTAAGACCCATTTCTGAAGGTTTTCCTTAACACACCTTATCAATGACTTTTTGTTGATCAAGCAGACAATATCATCTAGTTAGCACGTTGCATATTATGGACTTTACATCTCATGCTAACTATGATATTCGTACATTGTCAGGTCCTCTATCTTGTTACTTAACCAAACACATGTTTCCATGCAAGATAGAGTCTCAAAACATCGGTTATCTAGGTGTCTCCAAAGTCATCCGACTATGCTCTTATATAAGTAGCTAAGCCATCTAGCTAGGTATTTTTCAATCCCATATTAGCCACATGTTCTCTGAATTTTTCCAAAGACAACCCTTTGGTCATAGGGTCAGCCACCATCTCTTCTGAGGGTATATAACTGACTTTAATTTCACCTTTCTGCACTATGTCCTGAATATAGTGGTAACTTATATCAATATATTTTCCCTTAGAACTATTTGCTCCACTTTTTATTAATGAGATGGCGGACTGATTGTCACAAAACATATTGACAAGTCTGGCAGGTATACCTAATTGTAAACTGTCAACAAATCGTTTTATCCAGACCGCATTACTAACAGCTGTGCTGCAAGCTATGTATTTAGCTTCCATAGTATACTTTGCAACACAACTCTGTTTCTTACTTAACCAAGAAACTGCTGTTCCACCAAACAAAACTACATGACCACTAGTAGATTTTTTATTATCTACATCTCTTGCAAAATCTGCGTTAGTGTATCCTTTTATGTCTAAATCACACAAACAAAAACATAATTTCAAAGTTTTATTGCCTTTTAACCATCTGAATATTCTTTTAACTGCTTGCCAATGTTCCTTACCTGGATTGGATTGAAACCGACTTACCAATCCGACTGCATGACAGATGTCAGGTCTTGTGCTTGTCAAAGCATACATTAGGCTGCCTATTGCCTGGGCATACGGGACTTTTCTCATTTCCTCAACGTCAGACTTAGTTTGAGGACTCATACTTTTACTAAGACTTTGTCCCTTGCAAACAGGCGTACTTAAAGAATTACAGTTATCCATATTAAATCTTTTAAGCACCTTGTCTAGATATTTCTCTTGATCTAGATATAATAATTTTGAATTTCTATCTCTTCAAATTCTAATTCCTAGAACATAGGTTGCAAGACCCATGCCTTTCATTTCAAATTTAGATGCCAAGAAAATTTTAGTTTTTATAATTATATCTGGACAATTTCCTGCTAACAATATGCCATCCACGTATAAAGGCAATATTGCTAACTTGTCATCATTTTTCCATATATAAACACAGTGATCTAGTGGACTTACAACATAGCCCATTTCTAAAATGGCTTGGTGGAATTTCAAGTACCATTGTCTTGAAGATTGTTTAAGTCCATATAGAGATTTCTTCAACTTGTAGACTTTATCCTCATTGCCTTGGTTTTGAAAACCATCAGGTTGCATCATATAAATTTCATCTTTTAATTCTCCATTGAGAAAAGCAGTTTTAACATCTAATTGATGCAATTCCAAATCCATCCTGGCTACTACCGCTATTAGAATCCTTATTGAGGCAAATTTTGCAACAGGAGAATATGTATCTACGAAGTCTATTTCAGGTTGTTGAGTGAATCCCTTGGCTACTAACTTGGCCTTGTATTTCTCCAAAGTTCCATCTACTTTGAATTTCTTTCTAAGAACCCATTTGCAACCAATGGCTTTTCTTCCATTCGGAAGATTACCCAAACATCATCATCTTTCTTGATTGAGTCAAGTTCTTCATTCATTGCCTCAAGCCATTGTGTAGCATCACTGCTACTCATTGCTTCATTATAACTAGTAGGATCATCTACTAAGTTGTTAAGTTCTTCAACTTGAAAAACATAATGATCTTTCAAAACCGTAGATGGACGTCTTGCTCTCTGACTCTCACTTATCTCAGAATTCGAAGCAAGGAAAACAACGTTAGGTAATTTGCGTTTGCTTCCACTATTTGATGGTTCGGG